AATAATCACAGGCAGAGAAGCAGGCTGGGCTCACCAGCATCGAGCTGTACTTCATAGCTGCCTAAGGCGGAGAAGAACTACTTCTGAGGGTACAGCCTGGGCAGGAAACCTTTTTAAAGCTCTAGGTGCATCAGGGTTGAGAGCCACTGATGTGGAAGCACAGAGGGAGAGGAAGGACCCATGCATGGGGCACAGCAGGGAAACCTGGAGCAAGTAGAGGCCCTGGAAGTCAGCCCAGGAGGGATCCAGAAGGGGTAGTGGCCACATCAAGCCTGCTCTGGTGCCAAGGGCAGATGGGTCTTCCAAATACAGGGGTGTGGAGTGGGCAGAGTCGGTGAAATCCCCCAGCCAGGGACTCCAGCTCTGCATGCTTACCCTGCTGGATGCCCCTCTGGGACGAGCCCTGCATGAATATACTGTAACACATCAGCCTTCTCATGAGTTCTCACAAGTCTAACTGTACAAACACTCATGATGCCTGTGAGCATGGGGGACGCAAGGGCATGAACAAGGCAGAAACAAGTACAGTCTTACAGAAGGTAATGTTCCTGTACAGCCCAGAGTCCTGGGGCAAGCCTGGGGCACCCTGCACACGATTCCTGCTCCTCACACCCTGCTGCAGGAGCTCAGGATAAGTCCATACCAGGCCTTAGGAGCCTTTGTGCCCAATTGTGATTAGACTAGATCAATAGTTTTTAGCTTCTTATTGAAATTGAAATTAAAAAAAAAAAAAAACATTAAAATGGCAACAGGAGCTGGCTTAATACGTACATTCCCAGACCTGCCACAAGGGAGAATGAAGTCTCATCTCCACTTACGCTATATCAGATCAAGTGTCACTTGGGTCAGTGACCTTGAGCCATGAAAAGCAAGGTACAAAACTCAATGCAGGATGCCAACAGAGGCCCGGGGAGCTGCCTGCACTGGTCCTGCCCAGTGCAAAGTCTCTGGGTTAGGTCGTGGAAAGAAATCAATAATGCAGAAATTGTTTTGATCTCCTTAGTAAGAAAGCCTCAGCTGAAACTCAAACAAGTCAAGTTCTCAAAGGATTACAGGGGTTACTGGCCACTCAGTCAAACCTGTTAGTAGCTTCCTTAAAGGCACCTTAGAGTAAAAGTCAACAGTGGAACGATATCTCAAAACTCTTGTTTGCTTCATAACTTTCTCTTCTCCTTAGGAACCTGTAGGTAACATGGTCAGCAGCTGAAACGCACGTGAAACAGATTTCTTTCCTCCCAATGTTCATTAACCACAAAGTTATATCAAATGCCCCTGGAAGAAGGACCCAAAAGGAGTCATAGTCACCCACTAACCAGTGCAGCAACCTCCACATCTGGTGTCTGCTGAACCTTACTCGAGTAAAAGAGTCTACAGCACACCTCCCCGTCTGAGATAAGGGAAGCAGGATATGCAGACCACAGGATGGAGGTGAAAAATCACAAGGAAGAATCACATCTCATCTTCAAACTAAGCTACATCAGGCTAAGTGTTAGAGGGTCAGGGACATCCCCTTGGTCCCATGGGAGAAAAATCAATTTCGTGTATGTTAGACAAATATAAATCAACAAGCTACAAACATATCCTGAAACATATTTTTAAGTGTTTTGGTTTTTTTCTTTTGTGTTTCACAAGATTAGCTTTATTCTTTTTTAAAATATTTTTTAGATGTTGATGAACCTTAATTTTATTCATTTATTTATATGTGGTGCTGAGAATCGAACCCAGTGCCTCACGTGCTAGACAAGTACTCTACCCCTAAGCCACAACCCCAGCCCTAGCTTTATTCTTAAACTAGAGTTTTCCCCTTTTTTAGTGACTCTGAGAAACAGTGGTTAGTGTAGAGTCACACCTGACAACCTTGGTTTGAATTTCAGCATCCCCCTTTGCTAGCTGTGTGACTTTGGGGAAGTTTCTGGACTTCTCTGAGTCCCAACATCCTCAGCTGTAGAATGGGGCAGCAACAGGAATGAATTCAGAGGTTTCTGGCAGATTAGAGGAAAAACAAGAACAGCACTGAAAGCAGGGCCGAGCACACAGTAAGTGCCACATGTTGACCATTGCTTCTCAAATGCCCTAAGTTTATGGACACATTTGTTTTGTGGGTCATTTTCACTTTTGGTGTTTCTCAGATTCATGGAGAAGTGCTGAAACTTTTCTGAAAAGGTCATTCTGCCACCTGGTAAAGGTGGAGCACCCATGGCTCTCTCCCTCCTCTCAGCAAACCAGGTGAAGGTCAGATTTAAAAGGCAAAGTGTGGCTTCTCCACTCAGGAAAGAAAAGGAGTTTTATTGGCTCCCTGGCAGCCATGCTGTGTCAGCTTGGATCTGGGCAGCAAGGTGAAGCTGGCCTCCTGCTCAGTGCTGGCACCTGGGAGCTCCATGTCCCCACTGCCACTCGTCATAGAAGGCTATAATACCCTTAAAACAGAAAATAAGTCTAGACTGAAACAAAGAGTTACGCTCTCTTCTTACATACCTCACAAGTGACTCACACATCTCCTGGGTTACACACGTGTAAACAAACACACGGAACCCAAGGAGGACACCAGGCTCAGGGAAGGGCTCCTAGCCTGTGCCTTCTACCAACCCCTCCACCAGTTTGATCCCTCCTTGTAAGGAAGGTCTGCAGATGAACGATCAAGTACAAGTACAAGGAAGATGGCTGCACTGATGTAGTTACTAGACCTTGAAAAGGATCTGTGACAGGAACAAAAACCGACATCTGTGACATAAGTGCTTCTCTATTAATGCATCAAAAATGAGGTCTATCAGCATCTGGTGTAACTTCAGAGCAGTGATGAGTGAAGACACTATTTGAAGGGATTTGCCTCTTCTGTGGCATGACATGCAAACACCTAGGATCCCCACTGGTGACAAAGTCACTGTCCTGCCAGCACCGCCATGCTTTGTTGTCTGTATCTCATTTTGGTCAGAAGTTAATGATGCCTATTTTTTTCCTCTATCAGTTCAAGAGCCCCCTCAGTTCTCCCTGCATACTTTGGGGCCCCAGGACCTTGGTTTGAAAACATCTTTTAGAGGGTCCTGTGTTTCAATTAATTAATGCTTAGGGCTGGGGCTGGAGCTCAGTGGTAGAGCACTCGCCTAGCATGTGCGAGAGGCTGGGTTCGATCCTCAGCACCACATAAAAATAAATAAATAAATGGTATTATGTCCGTCTACAATTTAAAAAATAATTCTTAAAAAAAAGAGTTAATGCTTGATCATTCAATTAATATAACAAATAGCCATTCTGCGCTAAGCAAAGGAACCACGGGGTGGGAGGGATACAACAAAACAAACAGAAATAAGGGGATACCAGGAAACAACCATGTTGTAAAAGCTTTCAGAATCTCTGCTCAATGTTTATTTCAGTTCTTCAATTTTATTATAGGTTATCACTGCCAAATTCACCAGGATTTCTTTTTTTTTTTAATAGATAACTAAAAATCAAAACTAACAAACAGAAGACACAATCTCTGTTTGAGTCTACTGTCAAGTAGACCTTAGAGACTATGGATCAGTGCTACAGAACAGACACCAAGTTCACCATGCTTCCATTCCCTTGATAATAAAACCAGCCCTGCCCAACTGTAGACATTTGATAGGGATGCAATGAGGCAATTAGTGTGAAAGGTCTTTGAAAACTGTGTGGTGCTGCTCTTGGATGGTGTTCCAATTATACCGTGCATCCAGTGATTATTCAGAGTTATGAGAAGGAACTTAGGGAGCCTCCCATGGCAGAAACAGCCATAAGGGGTACTACAGAATCACAGGAGGGTCATCTATGGAAGAGTAAGTAACAGAGAGAGATTTCTCAAACAATAATTGTGTTGTGGATTCTACTGTGGATTTCACAGTTGAGGCAAATACAGAACACACCGAGGATCTTACTCTGGACTTGCTTTTCTGTGCACAATACCACAGTTCCATGAGTAAGCTAGAATGACTTACAAAGAGCTTCGTAAACTCTGCAAGATACATGAGTCATTCAAAAGCCTATGGAATATTCTATTTTTATTGAGACTGATTTTCTGCAGTGTTCACAAAGTAACTAGGATTTGCATCAGGTATAAAAACACAGGTCAATTTAAACAAATTTCCCTCCTAATACGAAAGTATCTAATAGAGAAAATCTGAAAATGGCCTCTGATACAACCTAAAAAATAAACCTGTAGTTCCAGCCTCTTTATTTTAAATGATCTCAAAACTTTAAGAAAATTAGAAAAACTGGTCTGCATTAGTAAAAAATTTTAGAGATGCATCATACACTGGTTTTGAATCATGTTTTCTCCACATAAAAGCAGGACTGCTGTACTCTTTTTTTTAAAGGCTGATGCAATGATACATCAATATGTAAATCACCCAGCTGGCATGAATTTCTAAAGAGTGAAACTGCTTCTAAAAAGCTACCTCTCTAATAAACTTCAGTTACCAAAATTAAGTATTAATTATTAATTTTTTTAAATTTGTCACCTTTTTTGAGGTCTACAATACCAAGTGTCATCTCTTGTCATCCTGACTACTGAAAAGAGCTCTCCTAGTGTACTGCTCACCCTACCAGGTATAAGCTCTGCAGCCCGAAAGCATCAACGGTTTCCTGCTGCAACCCACAGCCCGACTTTCCCAAATACCAGTTCAAAGAGTTTCTCAGTTGTCACCCTTGGCACATGTCTCATTAGGTCCCTCAATGTCTCAAATACCTTTGATTTTAAATGAGACAAACTCCTTCCCCATAGGAGTTTCTAGGTACTCAAGTGGTCCTCTGGTAAGAAGCAGAAATGGGAACATTTTTCTAATTTGTCAGCTAAAAGAAAGTGGGTTCAAATGAAAATCCTACTTGGTCCACGCTGCTCTAAAACTTCAGAAGATCTAAGATTCAGACCCTTTCCTGTGGTTAACCCTCAGCCACATCAACCTTCCAGAGAAGGCAGGCTGTGGGACAGTGTGACCAGTACCAGACCTCACCTGAGGTGGCGGCTAAGAGGGAGCTACATCAGAGCATCAAAGGGCAGCTACTCACGGAAGTATTTCAGCGTCTCCTCGATCTGCTCGGTGGTGAGGTCGATGTTGGCGTCTGGGGAAAGGAGAGGCGTGTGGAGCCAGTCGTCGTGGTCATAACCGTAGATGGTGTCGGCTCTTAACTTATAGTGGGGCAGCTGCTCCTCCAGCAAGCTGATGATCTCAACTTCTGGAAGATCGGTGCTATTGCACACATCTAGAGAAAGGAAGAGCAAGGAGACTAAGAAAGGAGAGTCCACTCTGGCTAAGGCCTTGCCACCACTGGTTAGCTACACTTGTGACCTGCAGTGGGTCTTTGGTTTCATCTACAGCACAGAGAGGCCAGACAAGGCCACATCAGACTTAGAGTTATGGGGAAGAGGTGTGGGTAGGACCTGGAATGTCCCCTAAAAGCTCCTTCCTTGAAGGCTTGGTCTCCAGTGCAATAATGTTCAGAGGTGGGGAAGTGACTGGACCATGAGGGCTCTTATGCTGAATGGACTATTGGGAGGGGTGGAAACTGTGGGAGTAGGGCCTATTTGGAGGAAGCATGCCCTGGAAGGGTATTTCTTGTCCAGGGATTCTTTCTTATTCTCTTTCTCTGCTACCTGTTCGCCATGAGGCAAGCAGCCTTGCTCCACCACACTATTCTACCATGATACTCCACCTCGCCCCAGGACCAGAAGCAATGGAGCCAGCTGACAACAGATGGAAACCTCTGAAATCACGAGCCAAAATAAATCTTTCCTCCTTTAAGTTGTTTTTTCTCAGGTATTTTGTCACAGCAACAGAAAGCTGTGACACAGATTGCTAAAGGGTATAGAAATGTCGTTGGCTAAGAAGAATAACTTTGAATATTCTATAGTACAGTAGGAGGACTGTCAATCATAATTAATTATATATTTCAAAACAGCTAGAGGGGATTTTGAATGTTCCCAACATTTAAAAAAAAAATGAAAACCATTTGAAATAATGTAAATTTCCCTCATCTGATCACTGCATGTTATATACAAATTGTATTGAAAAGTGACACTGTACTTCACAAATAGTACAATTATTATATATAATTTAAAACTGAAAAAAAATTTATCTTAGAATCATGCATGCTTATTGCCAAGATCTGCCCAAGACAACTGTTACTGTTAAGTGTCCACCGACAAGGAACGAAAGCCTAAATTCGTGACCTTCATTCTCTGGGCTAAGTCTTTCTTCCAACCCTTTCCCCCACTATCCTCTCCAAGTACCCTACATTTTAGCCAAACCAGTTATAACTTAACCACTATGCCCAACTTCTTCCTTCTATTCACTCTTTAACCATTCAAGCTATCCCTTCAGCTAGAATTTGACCTTTATTTAATTTATCTGTTCATTCATCCATCCATCCATCCATCCATCCATCCATCCATCCATCCATCCATCCATCCACGTGTCTCACAGGAGACACAATGGCCAACGCAGCAGTCCCGGCTCCACCTTCCTGACACGCTCTTACAGGGCATCCTGTAAGACAATGACAATGACAGCAACAGGAGCCTGCCCCTCAAGGCACAGTCTGCCAGGCTGGTGCTTGATCTTTCCAAACAGAACTATTCTTTCCTCCCCTTTCCATACCCACACTGTATTTTGTCAGAACTTTTGTTACTGCACTTATTAAGCTGTGTCTTCTGGATAGTTTAGCATCCGACTCCTCTTGCTGTGAGATGGCAATCTTCCATACACAGCTGTCCTTGATCCACCTCCTGAACCCTTCAGCACCGGGCCCAGGCTGGGCCCAAGGTGTACCCAATAATGCCTTCAATGTTGAACCAACTCACACAAAGTACAGAAATGCAGCACTTGTGACTAAATTATAAACATGACAATGTGGCAGACATTCCCAGGACACAGACCCTACTTTTCCACCTCAGCACTTACTTATCAAAGGAGAAATATGGAGAAGGAATAAAGTGGGTGGTAATGGGCGAATGATAATTTTCTGTTAATTCTGACATCAACCACATTTCAGCCCACCATGCTAAATGGCCCATGGGGCAGTAGTGGTCTTTTAAAATTTTTGAACACATATTAATTATACAAATTAATAGTTTCGGGTGATGTTTCCACACATGTATACATTGTGCGTTAATCATGTCTGCCTTCCCTCTACCCCTTCACTCTCCTCTCTCTCCCTCTAACTTTGAATATTCTATATTCAAACCCCAGAGCAGTGGTCTTGCCAACCCAGAGCTGAACCAAGCACCTGTGGTGCATACAGGTGGAAAAGAGACAAGAGTTAATCCAGTCTTCCCTGCTAGAAATTAGTGTTCAACAGAGAAACACCAATTGAAAGATTAGACTGCTCCGAGGGTCAGATCTTGATGAAGCTGTTGTACCACGTTCTTGCCTGAAGAAGAAAGCACAGGTGGGAACTGGGTGCAGGTGGAGGACCACACATGATTCTGTCTCCGGCCTTTCCAAAGAGAAAGAGCAGGGGAGAAGACACGCTCAGAATCAAACCATCCAACACCATAGGGAAATGGGGTTGCTGAGGAAGGACTGAAATTATGAGGTGTTCCCAAAACATGGAAGGTGGAATGAAACCAAAGGAGAAAGGAAGGGGGAAGTCAGGTCCTAAACACACACGCAGAGCCAATGACTGGCGTCCACAGTAGTGGGGGAGGCAGCTGTCAGAGGGAGCAGGAAGGCCTGGGGCCAGGATTCTCTGGAGAAACAAGGCAGGGACAGCAGGGGAGGCAGCTTCTCCCCTCCAGCCCCTCCCTGAGCCGACAGCAGAAGAACACAGAGAGGCCAGCACCCAGAAGAGCAGCCACCACAGAGTCGCCCAGACTCCTGCCTCCTTTGCGTTTAACAGGAAGGTCACACAACAGGCAAAGATGGGAGGTGGGGGGAGGAGAGGGGGGAAGAACCACCAGAGGGAAAGAGAACCTACAATTAGGGGTTGTCATCCTTTGGGCAGCAGCCTGCTGGAGACACTGCCAGCCCCCACATTCTCCAAAGCCCCCACCAGCCCCTCTCATTCAGCTCCGTGTGCAAAGCTTTACTGCACAATGCTTTCATTCAGGATGTCAGTGTGGTTTTCCAAAGTGCTAAGGAGCGTTAATGATTGGAACAGGAGGACACTCAGCATTTTACTTGGGGTTTTAGGAAACAGTTCAATCCTGGAGGGTAGACTGCACCTGAACACTTGGGAAATGTCACAGTGTGCACACTTGGCACTTCAACCAGCCAAAAACCAGGACAGACCTGCGGAAGCTCCACATCCTGCCTTGGACAGAGTGGTGGCCCCACTTCAAGACGATTTCTCTGGTTTCTTCTCATTTCCCACCAACAAGAAGACACCACCCATCTTCTCATTCTCAAGTGAAGACGTTCCCACAGAGCTCAACTCTGGGAGAGGACTCCCAGCTTCAATACAACCACCATGTGAGAGAGGGGATCTGGGATCAAGGCATGTGGGTGCCAGTCACAGCATCTCTTGCCTAAACAAGCATCTCCTGACCAAACCATGCTCCACCGCAGCTCTGCAAAAGGAAGACCCAGCCTGTACCCAGGAGAACAGGCAGGGGACCAGCACATTCCTGCATGACACACCAACAGGACAGGCTGGTATCCTCTGGTGTCTGGATGCTGTGTGGTGGTGGGAAAGGGAAAAAAAAATCCAGGAAAAAAAAATATCCCTTCTGAGATCAAAGTGCTACTTGTGAACACAACATCATCTGCTCAAAAGCTGAGAGTTGACCTGTTCTTCCATGTTTCCAGGGTTGAAGATCAACATATTTACAGTGTGGGTCTTGGTGCCCCAAGAGAGGTTGTTTTCCTTTAAGCATGTGATGACCAGTGAGATAAAGTATCAAAAGGGAAGGCTGTGTTAAAAAAAAATTTTATAATTGATTTTTCCATAATGTGGCCAGCCATACAAATGTCAATAAGTTTTCAGCTGCTTGGAAAGCCCAGAGAACTGGGGCACAGAAAAGATGATACCCCTAAGCGACTGCCCCAGGAGCTACCCTTGACTTTCAGAAGGCCCAGAGAACTCTTTTGGAAGTAGACACCACATCAGCCTCAGTGAGAAGGCACATCAGCAGCCTGAGGTTGGGTGAATGTAACACAGGAGCTGTCAAGAATCCCCCAGGAATGCTGTTGACATGCCACACACCTCTGAGCACTCTCGGCCCTCCTGGAAATGTGGGACATGGATGTTATTTGCTGGGTTTTTATAGGCTGCAAAGCTGAGATTCACAGGAGGTGTGGACTGTCCTGTTGGTCAAGGTCACACGCTAGCTCAGTGGTGCATTTTGTCTGAGAAGTCTCAGCAGCTGATTGAAAGCCCTGCCATCGCCCTGGCACCTGCTGCCCATCTTCTGGGAGGGCGCACGTGAAACACTGGGCAATTCCAAGGACACCATCATCATCAGGAAGCTTTTGTTCTCAACAGGTAGAAGGCTTCATATGTATGCTAGGGATGGTGGCTTAAAATACAAGGGCAAGTTAGGGTGGTGCCAGAGTCATCTTCCCTTTCAGAACACAGCAAGAAGCACAGCCAAGAACTGAAGTAACTTATGTGCAGAATCTCGGAGGGCCAGTGGCCTGTGTAGGACAGCCCTGTCCCTCTCTTAAAGCTTATTAGAGCTGATAATGTGAAGGGACACTGCCAGCCCACATGGAAGGAAAAAAAAAAAAAAACCCCTTTGTGCTCTCTATGGTCATCATTTCCCCACAGCTCCAATTCACATTTTTAACGAGCTATAAAAATGTGTTCTCAGCCAGGCGTGGTGTGCACCAGTAATCCCAGCTACTAGGGAGCCTGAGGCAGAAGGATCACAAGTTCAAGGTCAGCCTGGGCAATTTAGGCAGACCCTGTCTAAAAATAAATTTTTAAGAGAGCTGGGGTGTAACTCGGTGGTACAGTGTCCTTGAGTTTGGATCCCAGTGTCATGAAAAATAAAAAAACAAAAACATGTGCTTAGCTAAATCTCAAATGAAAGCAACAATTTCCTGATGGAACCCAAACCCCTACAGGTCTTTGCTTCTGGCAGATCTGTAGTAACAGCAACCCCAAGCCCCACGGACCCCGGCTCCAGCCTGTCAAGCCATCAAGCTCAGCAAGGCAGTTAGAGGACACTGACCCCTCAGTGTCTCCTCCTTCCCCGTGGTTAATTGCCAGATTGCTGCTGGCACCATCTTCAGAAAGATGCTTTATTAATTACGGTACTGCCC